GCACGTCACTCTTCCCAACCTCATCAACCAGTACGTGCATCGCGTGGAAACACACCATCGGAGACGGTTGGAGTCTCCGAGCCCTACCGGCCCGTGAATCCTTCCGACAGCGACAAGGACAAGGCGAGCCCCATCTTCGAGCTGACTGAGGACTAGACTCGCACGAGTGGCACGGCGTACAAAATAAGGGTGGTCTTTACATTTGCATGACCTTGCTTGGTTGTTGCTTGTACATGGTTGTGTATGGTGCCTGTTCCTCTATCAGCTGGATCGGAGCCCGCGACACGCCTTGCCTCTTACTTCGACATGGACATCGATGATTCGAAGCAGCACCCATGGCTCGAATACTCGGTCTGGCAGGATCAGGAGTGGGTGCGGATATACACTCCAGGACAGCCTCAGCGATGGCACCGCGGTGACACTGTACCTGATCTACCTGAAAATTCTTTTCGGGAATGGCAGCGGGTGACTGATCCCAATGGGCCCACTGGTGAGCACGTTCAGGCATGGAACATCCGTGACTGGCAGCATCAGGGATACCAGCGCATTCTGTCTCGAATGGAGTCCTTCACAACTCATTATCCGCATGATCAATCTCTTGGTCAAGTTCGGAACTCCGATGCCGTTCCAGTTGAGGAGACGTTCACCTACGCCACCCCGTTTTCCCATGGTGATCGCCAGGCTGCTTCACAACTCGCTTCAGTCCTCTATGGCGACACTCGTAATGCTCAACGTGGTGATCTCTCGTTCCCGTCTTCTGAGCGGTTTAGGGCTGTGTCTCGCTCCCCTCGCCGCGGTGGATATTTTGGTCAACGATAGGGACTCGGGTTGGAGCATGTGATCTTCCTGCAGAAAAGGAGAATCCTCGCCCCTCATTGAGGGGCGTGTGTGTGCGGAGTGACAGAATGCCCTGTCACCACTCTTTCGGTTTTCCAGCAGGGGGCACAGGCCCATGGTGGTGACCTGTGCCAATGAAGCTAACCACCATGGGGGAAACGCGGACTGATCATCCGCGTGTACCTGCTTTTGTGAAGTGATGTTTCTGAAGGTCCTTTTGGTCCCCTCCCTGAACCGCCGTTGCTTTTGTGTGCCCCTGTTCAAGTAGCTACAGGGAAGCCAAGCGTTATGCGAGTCGAAGCTCATCATACTCGAGACTCATCAGTTGTACTCGAAACTCATCAGTTGTACTCGAAAGATTAGCACTCTCCATCTGGAGTTCAAGTGTGTGTGTGTGTGTGTGTGTGTGTGTGTGTGTGTGTGTGTGTGTGTGTGTGTGTGTGTGTGTGTGTGTGTGTGTGTGCATGTGTGTTCTAGCGGATAGCGATGAGTCCTCGCTTCACGCGGGTATGATATCAGTGCCAATAATCTGCAAAAACCACTGGCGCGTCTTGGTTCGATCTGTCCTCTATTTGAGAGCCCAAGAAAAACTTTTAAGGAGCATTTTCTTGGCTTGTCTCCCACCCCCATCCGCCCCCTGCAAAAAGGCTGCACACTTGCCAAAACAGAGAAAACATCAAGGCTTCGTTGGCGACAGATCAGCTCACATCTCGCTGACCTGAGGTCGGAGCTCCCAGTGTGACGCCATCAGGCAGTGGGGGCGAGGCGTACTGCACCAGGGGCTCCTATCACGAGAGTGAATCCGTCGATGGACGGTGACGGAATCAAACTGTTTTCCCTTGATTGAGCGAGTTTAGGTTAAATCATGTGAGCATGGTCCTCCTTTATCGGAAGATTTATCGCCAACCTTGATACGTTGGAAGACCTTTCCCTGCCAAGACTGGAACACTGTCTGGTGGCTGAGCGCCCTGTTTCCAATCTCACTGATCGACCAGTGACCAAACACCATGCCGGCGCCGCAAACTCGTCCATCCAGACCTCGCAGTCGGGAGCTGAACGCGCCGATCGCCGAGTCGACATGTCATTGAAATGGAGGAGACGCCCGCTGAGACAAACAGAGACTTTGTGTCATGTCCAACATCCAGTTCATTCTTTTTGATGTTCAGCCAAACCATGGATTGATGCCCAAACGCCAACAAACACCACAAAGCGTGAACGCCTCATTCTGGACTGGGTCAAAGAACAAACGCGACAAAGTGGCCGTTGAACACGGCTTTCCTCACATTTTCGTCCAAGAAGGCCGCAAACACTCCGGGCAAAGTGCTGCAGCGGCGCGGAGCTTGTTCCGGGTGATCTGGAAGCCTGGCACCTGCCGCAAGTCAACCGAAGCTGCGAGTGGGGATCATGTGGTCGTTTGCTGTTGAAAAGGGAACTTCTTCTTCTTGTTGCCGGGGGGGGACCATTGAGATTTTTTGAGATTCAGATTGGCTGCAGCAAGCGTGTGAAGCACCGAAGCCATGCTTCAGGCAAAGGTGAGACCAGGAGGCTGTGCAGCTGCTAAGATACCGAGATGTCTGTGGCGGTTGCAACTGCTAGGGTATCGATCCTTTCTGTGGCGGATGCTGTTGCCAAGTCATTGGATCTTTCTTTTCTGCTCTAGCTTCGGCCTCACTCAGGCTTGCTAAAAGTCTGCCCTTCTCGGAAAGCTGAAAACAGGCGCCCCCTCTTTGTGAGACTAGAGCGCTGCCTTTGCATCAAGCGCTCTACCCTGTCGTGTCTTCAGAGAAAGGCTGAGCGTCGGATGACTGGATGACTCTGAAGCAAACTCGGAGTGAGAGCATCAGTCGTTCCCCTCGGCAAGATTGGTCTGTTAGGATTTTACGTGACATCCGACTTCCACAGCGCCCGCAGGCAGATGTGACAGACAGATGTGGTAGAGCCTGTGGCAGACAGCTGCAACAGAGCCGGTGAGTCAGATAGAACATGTGCGACAGATGTGACATATCCTGACAGGCAGCTGCAACAGAGCCGGTGAGTCAGATGGGACATGTGCGACAGATGTGACAGATCCTGACAGGCAGCTGCAACAGAGCCGGTGAGTCAGATGGGACATGTGCGACAGATGTGACAGAGCCTGTGACAGACAGCTGCGACGGAGCCTGTGACACGCAGATGCGCCGCTGTGACAGACAGCAACGACAGAGCCTGCCAGATGTCACACAGCTATGACAATGGGACAGCTGGCCTGAGGTTCGTGCCAGCGGGCCGGGGCCCAGAGCAGCCGCGACGAACCAGCGGCCGGGCCGGGACAGCCGGGACAGCCGGGCCCAGAATACTGCAGCCTGGGGCTCGCAGCTTGCGACTGAGTCTGCTGCGAGCCGGGAGCTGCATCCCCTGTCCCGCCTCAGGTGGTCCGGTCTCAGACTGTGGGGTTGTGCCCCGGGACTGGTGGAGCCTGGCACGCGTGAGTCGCAGGCACCGGGAGCGCCGCGGCGCGGCAGGGGCGCCTCTGGTGTTCCGGCTGTCCACTGCTTCGCCGTATTGGCGGGAGGCAAGTCAGCCGTCACAGCTCCCGCCTGAAGAGCAAAAAGCGAATCCCTAGAGCGTGCAACGCAAGATTTGCCCTCATGTTGTCCACGCAACTCATGTTGAGCGCGCTTGCAGCGCTGGAGAAAGCGTGGTATGTCTTAGGTGGGGATCGTTCGAAGAAAAGTATTTGTGTTGTGGATTGCGTTTAAAAGGGAAAGGGAAACCACAGCTTCGAGGGCCCCAACAAACCACAGTGGAGCTGGTGGACCTGGCAGCGGATGTGAATGTCTATATGTGCTTGTCATTTTTGAGGGTACGTCCTGCCCCCGTGCCACACCCATGCCTGTGAAACACCCGGTCAGCCGGGCCAGGAATTGCTATGACGCACCATGAGAAAACGTCGCACCGCGCAGAGAGCATATATCCACCAAGTATCTGGTGGCCACATTGATCTGCCCCATCCGTGGCCGTGATGATAGCAGACACTCAGCATTCTTGCATTGTTCTGGGATTTCACTCGACTCTATGGTCTATGCAAAGAAAAACAATAGACGTTTGAGCGGCTTCGGCAAAACTGCCACAACTCCAAGAATCAAACCAGCCCCCCGCCAGCCCCTCAGCAAACACCGGGCCAGGCCTTGTAGGCTACACCGGCTGAATCAGTGCCTGGCATACATGATGCACAGGCCCCAGTGCCAGCCCGGGACTTGGCAAATGCAAGGAGCGGGCCTTGCCAATACACTGCGGATCTGAAGATGTGATACACCCGGGAGCACGGCACAAACCTAAGACAAAATTGAGACGGTAGCCAAGTCTGAGTGAACCAATCGCGCAAGCAGACTGGGCCTGGCACTGGTAAACTAGAACGCAATGGAACCCAGTCTTGTCTGTTTTGACCAAACCGACTGGAACGCACACCTTGAACACCTCGCACCCGGCTCGTGGCGGAGGTGGCAAGGCCCATGAACAATTGCCTCTAAGCCCCGCTTACGAAATTTGGAGCAACAGCTTGGACTGAAACGAAGGGTTGGCCTGAACGGCTACAAGGAACCCCTCTAAAAATACCTTCCCCATTCTTTCCAGGGATCCTTCTCTAGAAAACCTCCGGAATCCCAGGGAAAACGGCTGGTTTTTGAAAAGAACGACGGTTGAAAAGAATGGAATTGGAATCAACCCCTAGAAACCCATCAATCGACGGCAGGGAAGGCTCACTAAGTGCAGCGCTCGATGTCCCCCCCGCACCTCAGCTCCAGCCAAGTGACAAGGAAAATCCTCAGCCAATGCCCAAACCCAGCGGTCCCTTTTCCGCGAAAACATTGGCGCCCTTGATGCCTTCCAATGGTCAATACGGGAAGCGGGATCTGGACGCACCTCGAATGGAAAGCTGAACATGGGTCTCTGTTTGGACATGTCCAGCGGAACTGGAGGTCATGATCCTGAATGCAAACGGCTACGGTGCTTCTCACGATCCACTTGGTCCTATTTGGCCAAGCAGTTCTGGCCAGCACATGCCTTGTGTGTGCTGCGTCCCGTCTAGGGCTGGAACTTGAGCCTACTTACACTCTGCAGGCCTTCGATTTTGTTTGCACATATGTCACATATGATTCATATTCTCTGGAGCTCTCTTGGTACAAGTGCCATCTCAGAGTCCCGTCCGGAAAGCGAAACCTTTAAGCAAACGTAGCTTGCCATCGGCCACGGTGAGACAGCACAAAAGGTGACACCAACGCTGCTGCCAAAGGCCAGATTCATCTCAAGTGTTGCGCTGGAGCCAAGCGCCGATTGGCAGCACGCGGACATTTCTAGCCCTTGTCAGCAATTGCTTGGGCAAGCCAATCCAAGCCCTGGCGGGCAGCTAACATGCATTCGCGCAAACTCCCAACAGAAGAGGAATGAAAGGGCTTCACAACCTTGTCTCGCTAAAGCATCACTTGTATAGCCTAGCCCGCCTGTGCCTGTGACACGAACAATCTACAAGGGGGAACACGAAAGGGTTTCTTGGAGGAGGGTAAGGCGGCATCAACTGCTCATTGGAAGTCCCAAACTCCCGTATTCCACCGATCAGGAAACTACATTGAGCATCGACATATAGACATATATATTTATATCAAACACCTGACCAAGTGCTGTATTAACAGCACCTGCAATCGCGCTCTCCCTGGACTCAACTGTCATTTCATGATCCTGAGCTGCTAGGGCTCTATTTCGTCTTGGTTTTGGTTCTAGGATGCTCCCCCGGAGGTTGTGGATGATGGGCAATGGCATGACCCGAGTTGAGGAGGGCCCGAGTTGAGGGGATACGAATGTGTTCCGCGGTCGTTTTGAGCAAATTGTTGTCATGAAGCTCCTTCAAAAGCTTTCACATGTTGCAAGTACTGCCTTGATTGTACAACATGTTCAACAACTACGCTTGTCCGTGTACAGACTGGCTTCTGGGAGCCTATGTAGACTTGGCTTGTGGCTGTTCTTTGGACTGTTCACGGTGTGGCGTTTACAGACACTTCCCATCGTGTTATTTTTGTCTCCGCACATCTAGGGGGTTGGTGTGAGTCTTGCACGCTCTTGGCCCACCTGCCTTCCCTTTACCTTTGTCCCTTTGTCCATTTTGTGGTTTTTCCTGCCATCTTTCATAGCTTGTTCTCATTGAACATCATGTGCCAGTTCCTGGGGCTTACGAAACAGCTCAGGACCTGGCGCAATCCAGGTAATTGCAACCAGCCAAACAGAAGTTGCCGCGCGAAAACCCCCCAAAAAGATATGTGATCAGGAATGTCGCCGTTGGGGAGCAATACCGGGAAAGATCAACTGGCTTCCCTTGGATCCTCCCAAAGACCCGGTCCCAAGTGAACCCCCCGAAAGGAAAAAAGCGAAGCCCAGCCTCGTGAAGGCCGTCGCCCACCGTCGCGCAGGTCTCCTGGAAAGGGAAACCCCTCCAAAGGGCGCTGAAGGGTCGATGGAACCCCCATGGCCGAGTTTCTTTTTGGTTCCCATTGGTTGGCAAGTTATCATTCACCCTGAAGTTTGTCCGCCGGGAACGCTCGGTAGAATTTACCCGGATTGGTTTGAGATGGCGGTGGTCCTAGATTCTACAGCTAGGTGTGTTTTCAACCACAACTGCTCGCAAGTGGATGGACAAGCTGCCTGGTGTTGTCATAAGTGTTCTAACATGCGTTCGAATAGGGCAACATTCGCCCTTGCAGGGTCTCCCTGATGAGCCTGGGTGTATGACACTTTCTTGGCACAGTTCATAGATTAAGGAAGGGATGTTGCATGTGAGGAGGACGGATTGCACCTCCAGGGGAAACGTGTCAAGGCCCTTGCCACGTTCTTTCGTTTGCGCCATGGCCAAAGAGCTAGCTGCAGGGAGCAGTGGTGAACCCTGAAGCCTGGCTTTTGTCAGTTGGCAGGTGCTTACATTGGGATGAGGACTGTGCTGCGCTGATCAGGACATTTGGACCGCATAGACGACATGTTGCTCCTCGCTCGACGAAGTCACTGCAAGAGTCCGAACAGCATTCCAGCACTAAACAAGAAGAGAGAACGCAGGACCAACACGCACACAAGCCATACCCCCAGGACCAACACAAGTGTCCACTGGCCAAGTTTGGCTGTCCCCACAAATAAGAAGCTCAACACTAACCCTGCTATTTGATGGTGGCTGAACACGTCGTAACAAAGCCACCTCAACTGTTGCATGGGATCCACACGTTGGCTCTTGAATTGAAATTTACCGCCCAACTGGAGCTAGGCCCCGAACCCATCAGCTGTCAGTTTTTGGGGACCCTCAAAGGGGTGGGTTTTCCTCTTTGGCCGGCCTTGAAGACCAATCCAAAATGGGGGCCCTCAAAAAAATGACACGCCCAATTGGGGAAATCAGCCAAAGTGCTTTAGAGCACTTCTGAACTGCAAACTTTGTCCTGCACCAGCCACTTCCTTCGGTACTTGCCGAGGCTGTTCAGGCTCAGCCTTTGCACCAGCTCCTATGGCCGGACCATTTCTTTTTCTGCCTCGACTTACTTTGGACCAGTATAAGGCTTGTTTGGGGGAACCCCTCAGGCCTCACAAGCAGATTTGCTACATGTTCGAGTGAAGTATCATCATCAGCCGACCCGTGAAAGGCTGAAAGGAAGCCCTGAGCAAGGAAGCTTTATCATGGGGGGGGGGAAACGATCAACCAAATCCCCAGAGCCCCAAATGAGATGTGGCCCGCCGACCCAGCGTGGTTTCACCATGCTTATGCCTCACAGACACTTCCACGACACCCCTCATGGAGTTTCCCAAAACTATCCGCCTAAATATGTCCTGAACAAACATCAGGAAGTGGATAAGGGGTTCTGGGCGCAGCCCTCGGCGAAGTCTGCTGAGCATTTCTCTCCCGGGCCCAATCTCCCAGGGTCCAAGTGTACCTTCTCCCGGAAGCCCCGTGAAGGGCACGAGAAGATTGTGGGAGAAAGAGACTCCGATGTTCCTCCGAATTGGACTTCCTATCTTGCGCGTGCCTCTGTGGTTTGCAGCACCGAACCCATCAGCTGAAACAATGGTGCGTTGCTGCGGTTATTAAAGTTTGAAAAGCAGCTTGGCTTCAACTCAACTTGGTTCAACCAACAATTACAGTTGCAAGGTACGTCAACCAAATTCAACCAAATGACATGATTCTACCACGGCCGTTCTGGGCGTGTATGATTTTGAAGGCACCCGTAAGGTTGGTTGAAGACAGCAACAGAAAGAAAAATACGCTCAGGTGATATCCCCGACAGCATGCGGTGCTCTTTTCAGTGCTCGCACTACCCCGCGGCCCTCGCAGAACCTTGTGGAACCCTCGTGGAACGGTGGTGGAACCCTGGTGGAACCCTCGTGGAACCTTACCCCAGGGCCGCCCCGGACCACCCCGGAGCCTATCTGGGCTTTCAGCTGTTAGGGAAAACAAACATGCGGGGATCCCCCTTTATCACATACATGTATGGGTCCCTCAAAGTGATGCTGGATGGTACAAAAACCAAGCTCGTCAAGAAGGATTCGCAAAATGGCTGCACTTCTTCGCGACAGGGTACCAGCCAGCAGGCCATTCAAAAAGCTGGGGCCCAAGCAAGTGCTCGTTGCAGTCTCCAATTTCTGCTTGCGTAGTTGTCTGCCCTGTTTCGACATGTGTCATACCATGGGGTGGACCAATCAAGTCGTGGGCCTTTTCTGAGACCCGTTTCAATGGTGTCATGTTGTGTTCCTTTCCAGGGTCGAGACCGTTGTGTCAATCCTGACGGTTGCTCTAGTTTGGAAGGACCTGGAAAGAAGCCTTGTCATGGGCTACGTGAACTGTCATGCTCTAAGTGTTGATGCACACGTGATGTGCTATTCAAAAATGATTCACCGATTTGCCGAGCCACCCCTTGACACCACGGAAGCACCGCTTGGAGGAGCTTCTGTTGTGGTAGAAATCCAGCCCTTTTGCGTGATATCCGCCAACATTGCTTGGCGTGTCGGAGAGGATAGAGGATCCCCGCCCCTAACCCCCCCCGCCCGACGTCAGATACGTGGGGTACAGGGAAACAGCGGTCCCCCACCGACCGCGCGGCAATTTGATGACGTTCCACGAAACGTAGTCTTCGGGGAGCGTCGCAAAACAGGGGTCCCAGGCTCGATTCCCCCTGCCGGCTCTTTGCTGGTTTGGGGTTCCTGCTGTTTTTGGACGTCCTAATTTTAAGAGTTTGAATTGCAGGGAACCTCTGTTATTTAGCAAAAAATAGCAACACAATTAGCAAATTTAAATTGCACTGGAATATTTTTTGCCAATGCGTTCGCCAAGCGCTGGCTAAGATAAGCAAACATTAGCAAGAGTTAGTAAGCATGTGTAAAAATTAGCAAAAATTAGCAACCCTCTCGCAAAATGAGCTTCCAGGCGCCAAAACCACAAGAAGGTTGCTAAATATTGCTATATGTTTTGCAAATGTGTTCGCCAAGCGCTGGCCAAGATTAGCAAAAATAGCAAACATTAGTAAAAATTAGCAAAAATTAGCAACCCTCTAGCAAAATGAGCTTCCGGGCGGCCAACACCACGAGAGGGTTGCTAAATCTTGCTATTTTTTGCAAATGCGTTTTGCCAAGCCCTGGTTAAGATTTGCAAAAATTAGCAAACATTAGTAAAAATTAGCAACCCTCTCGCAAAATGAGCTTCCAGGCGGCCAAAACCACGAGAGGGTTGCTACCATGAGGTCCGGACTAAGATACGGCACTTATATGTTAACTCGTAACATAACTTATAAGCTGTCCAACTTAGGCTATAGGTTCTCTAAGTTCGTAAGTTCCCCATATGTTATTGGGTGCATTTATAAGTTAGATATGGTCAAGTTGTGGAACTTATGGAGTTAGGTCCAGGAGAGATACAAATAACTTAGGGGGAACATAGAAGCAACTTACAGGGAAATTCGCTTTTTCCAGGGTTTGCGCTGCAGCGCGTGGTGTGTTGTATGTGTCAAAAAAAGACCCGCTTGCGAACATTCCCTCTGGAAGAAAAAAGCGCGTCAGGGCTCCGGGAAAGTCTATACGGGGGAAACGCGGCTTGAGCCTTGCACTGTGTTTTCGGAGAGGGTGTCCAGCTCTTTTTCCTTGTTGTTTTCTTTGGGGGGGGGGACTCGTATAGGGGTGTTATAGCTTCGGTGTGGGGGAGGGGGGGGGGGGAAGCAAGCAACACCAAACAACTCTATAGCCTCAAGCAGCAAGGCGCTCTGTGTGCTTTCTGAAAACGCTGTTTCCTAAACTTGCGGGTAATGTCGGCAGAATGTCGGCAGATGTGGGCGGGGGTCAGAAAACTCACATGGGGACACACGTCGGCAGAATGTCGGCAGTCCTGTCACAAGCTAGATCTTGCTCTAGCAAGCACACGCTGCAGGCACCGAACGTCGGCGGAATGTCGGCGGGGGCGGACGTAAATGTTGCCCATTTTCAAGGCTTGCAACGCTTTCACTCGCGCGCGCGCGTAACAATGGCTCAAGCAAGATTTTGCGAGCACCGTCTCAGGCTTCTAGACCCGCGGTGACTATGGACGCAGCGGCCACGCAGACGTGCTTCCTCTGCGGAGAAGACTACAGCCAGGATGCTGCCGGGCGAAGCTGGGCCCGCAAGTTTGAGTGTCGTCGCGTGAAACACACCGCCGCTCTGCCAGGGCACGTGAAACTTCAAAACATGTTCCTACAAACACATGACCCTTTGAGTGAGTGCCTTCAATAAGACGTTTTGGTAAACCACGAGCACAAACGCAAAGCATGCCTTTCTCTGTAAAGCAGGCTTGCGCGGGGGGAACTTACAAGTAACTTATAAACTCAGTGTATTTTGCCTAAGTTATACTTATGATAAGTTCCCCGTAACCTAGTTATATCTATCGTAAGTAACATATATTTAGCATAAGTATTTTGGACCTCATGGCAAATATTGCATTTTTTGCAAATGCGTTCGCCAAGCACTGGCCAAGTTTAGCAACAATTAGCAAAAAAGTTATGCTCAGTGAAGGAGGTCAATCATTGTTGCAGGAGCAATGCCATTCAGCATTGACGGTTGCTGCCGTCACTAATTGAAATTGCTATATGAAAGCCCAGCTCAAAGCTGTTGCAATCTAGAAGTGCAAAATGGAAATCCACCTGACCTCGATTGCAATTCCCCTTTGCAATTCAATATGCTATTTTTTGCTGAAATAATTCCTGGAGACCCCTTCAGTGGTTGCCAGTCTCCCAACTCTTAATCCTAATTGCGAAAACGCTGGAAAAATTGGGGAGCAAAGAGGAAATGCAAGGAAGTGCAAGGAAATGAGGGAGGAAATAGGAAGTCGACATGACATGACAGGACAGCAACGGGAAATGAAAGGGACGCAAAGGGGAACTGAAAGGGACATGCAAGGGACAGAAATGAAAACAAGGGGAGTGCCAGAATGCAAGGGAAACAAAGCACAAGGAAACCAATCGGCACGACGGGAGATGTAGGGAAATGACTCGCAACGAAAGAACGGGACATACATGGAAAATGAAGCGGACATACCGAGAAAATGTCAGGGACATGAAGGGGGAGCTGAAAGGCATGGAAGGGACATGCCCAGGACATCATGAGAAACGTGAAAAGGACATGAAGGGGAAATCAAGAAAAAGCCAGTAGTGAGATGACAGTTCAGGGTCATGAAAGGGCAGTGCCCGGACATCGAGGCAACTCAGGGGGGACGTGACGCTGCAATGCAGAGAGAGAGAGAGAGAGACAGGGAGAAAACGGGAGAGAGAGAGGGAGGGAGGGAGGGAGGGAGGGAGGGAGGGAGGGAGAGAGAGAGAGAGAGAGAGTGAGACACAGAGAGCGAGAAACAAAGAGAGAGAGAGAGAGAGAGACAGAGACAGAGCCAGAGACAGAGCCAGAATCAGAGAAATAGACAGAGACAGAGACAGACAGAGAGAGAGAAAGAGAGAGACTGAGAAAGAGAGACACAGAAAGACAGAGAGAGAGAGAGAGACACACAAAGAGCGAGAAAGTGAGAGAGTAGAGAGGTTCGAATTAGGGTACCCTTTTTCTGTAGAGGGGCGTGGACAGGAAGGAGACAGGGAGACAGAAAGAGACAGAGAAACAGAGAGAGAGAGAGAGAGAGAGAGCGAGAGAGAGAGAGAGAGAGAGAGAGAGAGAGAGAGAGAGAGAGAGAGAGAGAGAGAGAGAGAGAGGGGGGGAGAGAGAGAGAGAGACAGAGAGAGGGAGATTGAGGAGAGACAGGCTTGGGGGGATGGGGAGGATGGGGAGCAGAGGGAGGGAGAGAGGACGACAGAACACACGAGGGAGACAAGGGAGAGAGGAAGGAGACAAGGGAACAAACCTGCATCCGCGACAACCTGTTTTGAAGATGTTTGAAGGATACATTTCGCAATAAACTTGAATTTGGAAACTTTCTGGCCATCTTGGGGAAGGGCCCCTGGCAGCGCACTGGAAACTGGACATGTAATGTGCAACATGCTAGAATGCGTGAGGCTCATAACGCAATGACAAAACCAAGGCTCAGAAATAAGTCACCCAACATCAAGGACTGCACCCACATCAGCTCAGAGGCACCGCAAACTGCGGTGCTCCTGTGTGCTCATTGCGTTGGGGAGATCCTGCTTGTTCGCCATGACCAGCAGCACGGCATCCTCGCCACGAGACTGCTATGGCTCGTTGACTTGGTTGGCAGCTTGATCCGATACATTGTTTCCAGAGACTTGCCCGAGTGTGCGTATGTCTTCGGATTTCTGGCGTGGTGTCAGGCACGCGATGCAGTATAATATTATGGTCAAGCCGTTTGCCTCTCTAGATTTTCTGATTTGTTACGAGCAGCCTCTGAAATGCACAATTTGCACTTCCATGTTTGCCTCCCACAAAAAATGGTTCCCATCGCGCTTCTATTGCTCAGTTGCAAACAGAACATGGCCAATGAATTGCCAAGTAGCCAACCTGGGTTGAGTCAGCGACTTTCAGATCGGTGTCACGGAGACAAACTAGTGTGTTCTCATGTTCTCACTCCCGGCATGGCTTGGTCAAAACCCGGGACGCACATCTTCAAGAAAAGCCAACATCTTCTCTATTGTTGCCACCTCCCCACATCAAATCACTCGCGGCACAAGTCAGACGAGTACACCATTTCAAGAATGGGCAGCACATCATTTCAATGGGAGAACACCTTCTTTGTTCAGAAACCTGTTCCCAGGAATTCGAAACACGGGCGCAAGACATGTTTTGATTCTTTTGCAGCCTGCTTGAAGGGAATCCAAATGACTCGGAATCAAACCCAGGTAAACACGTGCCCCGATGAACGCCCCTTCTTTTCATGCAGTGCTCCCCAAGGTCCGCACCAAGTCTCTTTTACATGAGAAATACATTTTCGATTCGGGAGTCTTTGCAAAAAACTTTCGGGCCATGTGCGCCTCACCTGACGTCGGACGTCGGACGTCGGACGTCGGACGTCGGACGTCGGACGTCGGACGTTGGCCGGTTCCAGCTCCTTCATCTCGTCCCGCTGCAGCATTTTCATGAGCTCCTCCTGGGCCTCGTCGATGCGGTCCCGGTCGCTGCTGTCGATAACCTGAACAGAGCAACGTGGTAGTCACCGACCTGTTTGACAGGGAAGCCACAGGGCCAGCCCCAAACGCGGAATCGTGGGCACCCATGAATTGCAAAAAAACACACACGTGATTGCGGCTTCGCTGTGCTCAACTCTTTCAAAGCACAGCCTGTCAAGATGCCTCAAGCAGTCCATGCGTCACAGCTTTCGCCAAGCCGCGAATATGAGCCCATCTGTATTCCTTGGCACGACGGATCAACGTGTTTGTTTCCGTGCACCCAAATGGATAATGGCATGATCATGCCCCTTGCTTCTTCCTCACTTCAAGACTTCAAAGCTTACGCCGCACATAGCGACAAATGCGACGATCTTTTGCACGTAGCACTGAACCGAAACAAGTGATCGACTGGCACCAGTGACGGAATGTTTGCCCAATTCCCTGCACAGTCTTCTGCGGGCACAGCATTATTCTAAGCCCACATGAAGCACACGGACAGAACACCGGAAACCGCAGTATAATACAACGGCAAGCCTTGCTCGATCATAAGTAGCGGTGCCAGACCCCCCGGATTGCAACAGAATCGGTCACCTGATCCAACTAATATGGTACAATTGCAATTGCTAGCGCATGCAGCTTTGACGCCCTGGAAACTGTTGGAACCTATGGAGTAAATGCCTGGGATGCTTTGAAAGACACTCAAACTGGGCACTCCAGCTCCCAGGGTCATTTGACCCACGCGGACACAGCCGGGAAATGGCTTAACCCAAACAGCCCTACGTTGACCAAGGATGATACTGCTGCAATGTGACATGCAGACCTAAAAAAATGCTCAATGTTTGCAAAGGGCCTCCTGGCTCAATGATTCGATGCACACCGCAAAGTGCTGCCAAAGCTCTGGTAGTAATGCTGCCAAATCTGTCGAGTTCTCGTCTGACCGCCAAGGTCCCAAACGGTGAAGACGATGTTTTTGTACTCCTTCGAGAGACTGCGCACCACCAAGAAATTGCCGAAAGATGCTGGGATTGACTTAATTGAATCCAACACGGCGTCTCTTCCACTGTTAATGCTAAATCGGGGTTTGGCAATAATTACCACCCAATTCTAAGCTCCCAACTCCGCCGTATCTGGGGCTCCCCGACGGGGCTCCCCTAAGCTATTTGACTTTCAGCAGTAAATGCATCCAATTTATTAAATTGTCTCTCTGATTTCGGCTTTTAAGTGTGAATTGATAAATGGGTGTGGCTCAAAATTAACCAGGAGGGGTTAGGCAGGTTTTGGTCCATGTTTCCACTTACCGGTTTTTTGAGCCACAGGGGCATTGAAGGATCCCAATTGAAACCTTACTCTGCAAATTACTATTTTGCCAGGCTTCGTGCCCTACAAGGGGGGGAGTTGGACCGTAGCGGAACCTCTCTTGGACCTCCTGGTACTCCATTGATGTTGTTCCGAGTGATTTATTCTGCGGTGGCGGATTTAGTGCGCAGCGATTCTTCGAAAGGGTGCAAAGTCCATTGTAGCTGGTGGTTGGCACAGGCAAAAAACAGCTTCGCATGCTTTTTGAGGTGTCCCAGCAAGCCGGCGAGCAGACTCACAGATATCTGTGACTGCGACAACTTGACCGTTGACCCTCTATGTGGGTGTGTTGGTGTGCGTGCGTGTGCGTGTGCGTGTGCGCGTGCGCGTGCGCGTGCGCGTGCGCGTGTGCGTGCGCGTGTGAGCGGGTGGGCGGGCGGGCGGGCGGGCGGGTGGCGGGCGGGCGCGCGGGCGGGCGGGTGGGCGGGCGGGCGGGCGGGTGGGCGGGCGTGCGGGCGTGTGTGCGTGCATGTGTGCGTGCGTGTGTGCGTGCGTGCGTGCGTGCGTGCGTGCGTGCGTGCGTGTGTGTGTGTGTGTGCGCGCGTGCGCGCTTGTGTGCGTGTGTGCGTGTGTGTGCGCGTGTGCGCGTGTGGGTGTGTGCGTGCGTGCGCGTGCGCGTGCGCGTGCGCGTGCGCGTGCGCGTGCGCGTGCGCGTGCGCGTGCGCGTGCCCGTGCCCGTGCCCGTGCGCTTGCGCGTGCGCGTGCGCGTGCGCGGTGTGTGTGTGTGTGTGTGTGTGTGGGTGTGGGTGTGGGTGTGGGTGTGCGTGTGCGTGTGCGTGTGCGGGTGTGCGGGTGTGCGGGTGTGCGGGTGTGCGGGTGTGCGTGTGCGTGTGCGTGTGCGGGTGGGCGTGTGCGGGTGGGCGTGTGCGGGTGGCGTGTGCGGGTGGGCGTGTGCGGGTGGGCGTGTGCGGGTGGGCGTGTGCGTGTGGGCGTGTGGGCGTGTGGGCGTGTGGGCGTGTGGGCGTGTGGGCGTGTGGGCGTGTGGGCGTGTGGGCGTGTGTGCGTGTGTGGTGTGTGGTGTGTGGTGTGTGGTGTGTGGTGTGGTGTGTGGGGTGTGGTGTTGTGTGGTGTGGTGTGTGGGTGTGTGGTGTGTGGTGTGTGGTGTGTGGTGTGTGGTGTGTGGTGTGTGGTGTGTGGGTGTGTGGGTGTGTGGGTGTGTGGGTGTGTGGGTGTGTGGGTGTGTGGGTGTGTGGGTGTGTGGGTGTGTGGGTGTGTGGGTGTGTGGGTGTGTGGGTGTTTGGGTGTGTGGGTGTGTGGGTGTGTGGGTGTGTGGGTGTGTGGGTGTGTGGGTGTGTGGGTGTGTGGGTGTGTGGGTGTGTGGGTGTGTGGGTGTGTGGGTGTGTGGTTTGTGTGTGGGGGTGTGTGGGTGTGTGGGTGTGTGGGTGTGTGGGTGTGTGGGTGTGTGGGTGTGTGGGTGTGTGGGTGTGTGTGGTTGTGTGGGTGTGTGGGTGTGTGGGTGTGTGGGTGTGTGGGTGTGTGGGTGTGTGGGTGTGTGGGTGTGTGGGTGTGTGGGTGTGTGGGTGTGTGGGTGTGTGGGTGTGTGGGTGTGTGGGTGTGTGGGTGTGTGGGTGTGTGTGGGGTGTGTGGGTGTGTGGGTGTGTGGGTGTGTGGGTGTGTGGGTGTGTGGGTGTGTGGGTGTGTGGGTGTGTGGGTGGGTGGGTGGGTGGGTGGGTGGGTGGGTGTGTGTGTGTGTGTGTGTGTGTGTGTGTGTGTGTGTGTGTGTGTGTGTGTGTGTGTGTGTGTGTGTGTGTGTGTGTGTGTGTGTGTGTGTGTGGGTGTGTGGGTGTGTGTGGTGTGTGTGGTGTGTGGGTGTGTGTGTGTGTGTGTGTGTGTGTGTGTGTGTGTGTGTGTGTGTGTGTGTGTGTGTGTGTGTGTGTGTGTGTGTGTGTGTGTGTGTGTGTGTGTGTGTGTGTGTGTGTGTGTGTGTGTGTGTGTGTGTGTGGTGTGTGTGTGTGTGTGTGTGTGTGTGTGTGTGTGTGTGTGTGTGTGTGTGTGTGTGTGTGTGTGTGTGTGTGTGTGTGTGTGTGTGTGTGTGTGTGTGTGTGTGTTTGTGTTTGTGTTTGTGTTTGTGTTTGTGTGTGGGTGTGTGCGCGTGTGCGCGTGTGGGTGTGTGGGTGTTTTTTCAGCGGACCCTTCTTCTGGTTTGCCTTTGAACCACCCCCACAAAAGGGTAGCATGAATACAAGACACACCCATCCGGGACCAAACAGGTCCCTCGACCTTTGGTTTCCGGAAGCCGTCGACATCCTCCAAAAGCCGCAGGAAGAGACCCCCCAACCCCACAGAAAGCCGGGATCAAACACCCCTGTCCTTTGCTCAAAGTGGGACTCAAAGACAGCTGGGATCTTGCCAACACAACTCTCGGATTCACACCTCAAACGGAACACCTGGCTTAGAACGCTCCCCCCCCCCCCCCCGGGTCCAGCTTCTCCACGTTGAAACCCACCGTTGGCAGAGTTCTCACTTGCACACCCAGCTTCAGCCGATACCTCAGCGCAATTCGGACAGCACAGAGGCTCTGACCTTCAGAAAATGAAAGCCGAGTCTAGGACTTCTATTTTAGTAGGGGAACCCTCCCAAAAAAAAGAGGCAAAAGGGCACTGGGGGACCTAGCAGTCTTCACCGCTTTCGTTGAAGGAACCCGCAAACAATGGCGATGCAACAGCCCAGCCGATGGCAATCAGCGACAAGAGCGAAAGACGAATTTCCGCTTGCTTGTTCTGACTTGTGGAAATCACCCGCCGATGTCCAAGCATTCAGCTCCCCTCTAAATTGGTGGTTTGGACTGGTGCTTCTGAGGTTAGGGCTGGTTTCCAGGGGTTGAATTACCAGTCCAAATCACCAAAAGGGCTACCTGAAACACGTCGTCCCCCAAGTTCTCTTGAACTCTACCAGCAAGCAGTCATCTTTGCACGTCTCACGTCAGCTTTTCACGTGCTCATGGCGCTCACCGAGGTCTGGGCAACGTCGTTGTCTTACCCGCTGAATCCTGCAACTTGCAACCACTGAGCATTTCTCGGGCCGCTTTCTGACACCTCGAAAAAAACCCAGCCTAAAATTCGAAGGCAGCAAACAAAACATGTACACGCATACCAAAAGCCCTGTGTGATATTACCGTGGTACAGTCTTCAACCCAAAGGAAATCTGGATTTGGCCAGTCCAGGCCCACCATGATGATGCACACCTCGCGCTTGCCGACCAAGTGCCTCAGCTCAGAAGCTGCCGGAAGAGCCAGTGTCCCGGGGTATCCTTCACTTGCACAAAGACTATGCCTGGATCGCCCTCAGGCTCATTGCTCTCCCGCTCGAGGAAACCCAAACAGTGCAGCGCCGCATGCGTTGCAGCCAAGTTGCCCCCACATGGAGTTTAGCGCATCGCTCACGCTCGTCTGAACCCCACCTGGCCAGAGGAAACCCACATGCCTGATCTGAGAACTACACATAGATTCACCAAAGCTGTCCAAGGGATGAGACATGTCAACTTGAAAGGGGAGGCGCCTTGATCCGTGGCTTCCCTTCTGCAGGTAAACAAGACCATCCTAACATTCCCCATATTTTGCGGGAAGGTTTCTTGCGTTTGAGGGACTCCTGGCAGAGGCAAGAACTGTGCATCCCCCGAATCGAATCCCAGTGGCAGAGCTGTGGAGGATCACCCCATATCGCCTCCTCAGGAATCGCGGGACGAAAGCTGACTTGTCCAAGGGATGGGAAGTTTTGGAATTTTCCACGAGGGCCATACCATTTGTCCCAGCTGACCGACTTGCTAGTTTCAAGTGCGAGCCAATCAAAAGCCCGTCACTCAGGTACCGTCCTCAAGGCGCTAGCCAAACAACCAAACTTCTATTCATCAACAGCCAGTTCCTCAAGCACATGCCACAAACACGCAGCACATGACCGGTCAGGACAACAATCTGGCAAATTGCTTAGGCCTCCCAAGAGAACCAACAGCTTGCATCCTGCAATGGCTAGCTTCGCAAATAAAGAATACTCAGGAGCAAACAAGGGGGGGTGGGTAAGTTTTGTTTTCATCTTTGGTGCCCAAAAGTCAGCCAACTGCCAATGCAAAGAATGCGTCATATGGCAAGCAACTTCCATGCTTGCTGACCACTTTCGGCCAGGCAGGGCCGTTCCCCCTCTCTCGCTCTCACACAAACACACTGCTGACACCCAAGTTTGACTTTCCCGGATCCTTTTTGCACCCTTTTCAGGAAAGCATTTTTCAGGGCTCCCCGTTTTTGCTTGGAAATCTGTAAAGCCGGGGGGGGGGGGGAGGGCAGCCCCGGGACCGCGGCCCAAAAATCCAGCTGCTGCCGTGGCTCTGACAGCCCCTGCCCCATCTGGTGCCATGCGCCCAGCGCGGCAGCTCGAACCAAAGGATGCGGTTCGACCCATACGTTTGGAGTTTTCTTCTTGGAAAATTCCCCTCTTTTGAGTTGTCTTGAACGGGAAACGGGGCCCGATTGAGGAAGGGAACCTGATCTTGAGGAAAGGACCACGAGCGACTCATCAAAAGGCCGCGGCCATTCCCTGAAGAACCACTCCTTATGAATCTCTAAAAAACACGAAGGACCCCATCCGTACCAGCCCCAAGCAAAAGGATAACCCTTTTGGGCCGTACAGGCAAACGATGAGGAAGTCCATGTCATAACATGTATGTTGGAGAGGTCCACAAAATTCTCCGACACGCAGCTTGACATGCCTAAAGTTTCGATACACGCCAGACCAAGCCCACAACAACCACATTGAGTCAGAATCAAAACCCGGTACAAAAATGGTGCACCTAGAGCCATGTAAAGAACTAAGAAGGCGGCCGCGCTATTTATGGTTGGGATCGTCCCTTACTAACCTTCATCTAGCCGGGTTTTGATTGTGGCTCTCATGCGGATGACTTTCAATTGGTCATGCGGATTCACGCAGCGCGATTTTTGAGGGGTGCCCCTGAAATTCGTGGCCGAGTGGTTTGACCACCATGTTCCAGGATCGGTGCAATGGATTTCGCTCAGCTCCATCCAATCGCCCCAACGCCAACATCCCTTGTGCATTCTCAAACATAGGGTCCGCCCAAGCGCAAGGGACATTGACCTACCCTTGAACTGTCAACACGGGCCACTGTCAAAACATTCCGGTGAACGAGGGAAAATGAGGGAGTCCCCCTTTGTTTTCTGGGCTAAACTTTGTGAGTCGCCCGATCATAGGTCATCTTTGGGAACAAATGTGGTTTTCCCACGAAACCAATGGATCTATACTGATTAAACCGGTGGTTCCATTGCTTTGATTCGTTAAACCAATATGGACCGAACGAATCTAGACCAGTGGAACCCATCTATTTCGCACCAACCCCCCCGTAAAAAGGACACAAAACGTCTCACTGCGTTGCCCAATGCTAGGCCCCAAGCTGCCAGGTGCGGAAGCCGATCTCCATCTCCTGGCAGGTTGCGTCATCCGATCTGAGCGGTTTGGCGTGGGAATTGGAGCTCGACTACTTGGTTGCTGCAAGGACCCCCCCTGCAAAAAGTTTAACTTTTGGGGGTTTAGTCGAAAACCCAACTTGATTTCAACCAAAAAGTTAAAGTCTAAAGATCCAACCCAAGAGCGGTCAAGACTAGATGGCACTTCGGGTCAGCCAGTTCGCCATGGGCTTCCAATTTCAGACTTGAACTTCAGGGTTCAGGAAGGAAGCAAGTCCCATGGGAGAAAGATACCTTCCGGGGAGGGGGGGCGTCTGATGCCGTCAGGAGCTGTGTTTGGCGACAAATGACCACCCAAACCGCTCAATCCAGCCCAAAGCCCTTCCCGGACCCTGGGCGTATTGAATGCTTTGATGGTGCTACCAACAAAAAACCTTTTGGACACCCGAGTAAATGGGCCCAAGGCACCAATCGACACTTCCATGCGAAGCAGCACTTCAAAAGAGAGCAAACTGCCAAGATTGGTGCTTCCAATATTGAATAATTGAATACATGAACATAGGTGTATATTTATGTACATGCATACATATATGATCAGGAATCACGTAACTACGCGTATATAAATGAATATAATTGTAGATGTTATGCATTTCTATCTCTATCACGCTATTACCCCGCCCCGTCCCCCCCCCCACGTAACAGGTTGCGGTTGAGCGACGGCGAATGTAGGCGCCTGAAGGTGTGTGTATATACATATATATATATATATATACAGTTGTATCATTTGCCGCCTTGTATGTAGCCCTTGTTGCGCCGCCTGTTCTCATCAAACCAGGAACTAGTACATACTAAAGCTATGCCCAAAAGACATTTCGGTCTTTGTTTAAGTTGCTTCACGCACGACCGAGCAGCATCAGCGCTCCTCTCCCCCGTAAAACTTCATCTCCGGGTCATAGCCTGCGCCGAAAGCCGTCGCACCCGAAGCAACAGCCATGGATGAGGAATTTCGGGGTTGCCGCCGCATCGCTTCCAGTGCCAGACTCTCCAGGCTTGACGCAAAAGGAGCCCATCCACTCGCGCCTCCCAAATGCATAAAGAAGGCTTTGTCAGCAGCGAAGAGACCTGACGCGTGATGCAAGCTTGCGTCATCTGTTTCCGCAACGACATTCATGGCTGGTTGGGCCGCACTTCAACAAGCTGGGTGCCTTGTTTGGGAGGAAGCAGGCTCCAGTTCAGCCCAAAAGCACAAGTGCGACTCTGGCTTTGATTCTGAACCAGTGAAGTGCTGTGCCCTCACTTCAAACGTAGATGCTGCGGAGATACACATACACACAAAGAGCGGCGAGCATGGCAATTTCATGCTAAGCTCTTTCCAATATATGTATATATACCTATATTCTATCCAGCGGGAAAACAAACAGGTTGACCTGGCGTTCTAGGGTTGAGAGTTTGTTTACTGTAACTGAAGGCCAGTTGGGTACTTTGCAGATAGGTCTCAAAAGATCCGCGCAAACTCTTTCCTCAGGAACCACATGGTGTTGCCAAAGTGGTTGACTCCCATCCCCATAAAGGAGATCCCCTTCAAAGGAATGGGGTCACAAGGGATCGCCCTGGCTAAGTCAATGAGGCCATTTAATTTCCGTCTCCACTTCTCACTTCAAACCGGTGAAGAGCCTCTCTTGCTGGCATAGCGGCCTCTGAGAGGTTTGCAAATGCATTTTGTGCCTTGTTCGACAATTCGACCTGTGCCACCCGGAAAAAAAAAAAGGCTTGAAGAAAAGGGCTCACGATGTTGAGGAACCATCTGCTGAAAGAAAGCTTGACTTAGGGTCAGCAACATCTGGCCTATAGGCTGCATCTGCGTCCCTGCCAGACGACTCCATTGGAAGGTAGCCCGCAGGTCTTTACATGACAAATTCATTTTGGTCAGTCCGCAGAATGTTGTCTCCCCGCCAACAAGTGCATTGCTTCACATCCGCGTCTTGTGGTTCCACGTGTCACTGCGATGTCGCCTATGTCAATCCAGATCTGCACAAAGTACAAGAACTTCTGAAAACACGCAACCCTCAGACAAGAAGCTTTCATCATGGGTCAGTTCCTTTCTTCGACTCAAGCTCCTTATAAGTTGTGCAGATCCCGATACTGCAGGCCGCAAACTTTGTGCGGTTTTCCCTATGCCGGTCAGCCAGTCATGACCTCTTCCTCCACCGGCTCATCCATGCCTGACAGAATCTGGCCAGGCTCTTTCAGTACTCCCAAGTGATGAGCGTTTTTTGTGGCGGGTGTGGAATCCCAAAATGACGGGTTTTCCTGCTGGTGTCCGTGCAAAACCACAATAAAAAGGGTAGACAACTTCATTCCTGAACCTTTGAGGGACCCTTTGACACAATCCCAAGATCCAGCTTTCTGGGGCGTCTCCGCGACCCATGGAAGAAAATCCCCGATCCAGCCAGGTGTAATTGATCCTTTCCCATATCGGTGTGCTTTTCCGTTGACCACCTTCTTTAGTGGTTTCAAAGGGACTCCAAAAGAGAAAAGCCACTAGCAACTATACTACCATTTGCACTATTTGCGGAGGCCCCGTAAAAGAAAAAGAAAGAGACGCACCTTTTTTGTCATGCGTTTCCGTGCGCCTGGATAATGGAACTGCACCTCGCAAAGACCATCGTGCAAGGTGCCGTTGTTGTGGTTGCAGTTCACCAGCGAGCCCGATCCCCTGCCGAACAGTCGGATCATTGGGCTGGGAACGCCAAGGTACCCATCACAGAAATGCAAAGCTGACCCCACAGATTGCCTCTAATCATTGGGCTCTACACCCACATGTTCCTCCAGACACAAACACACACAGATACAAAGTCCCTTCAAACTGTGAGTTTTAGACATTGGCCATTTCTGCGAACACAACAAAAGGAAATTGAGGAACATGAGGCAAAGTCACGGCATAAAGCTGCACGATGTGCTGAGAGCCAAAGAAACTGCCCGAAAATGCCCCGACCTTCCTTCTACTGGGCATCTGGAGTGTGGAATTGGTTTCTTGCAATTGGAAGAAAGCCAATGCCGGCCAACATTGCAATGGGCAAAGAAAGCACCGGCGCCTGTCCATGCAAAGGTAGTCGCCCTCTTGTCCATCTTCGACGAACGTGTCCTTCAGCTCCGTGTCATCATCCCATTGCCACCCTCCCTGAGCCGATCGAGTCTCGGCTCACGCCGCAGAAAATCTGGGCTCACTTGAAAACCTGCTTGGTGGCATGGTCCAAGAGCGTCCAAGCTCCAAAGATGCGCCCGCGCCCCCCATACTTCAAGCAAGTGTCATCATGGAAGTGTCCACCTCAGCGCGCCAAATCGAAGCTTGGGGCATTTCATCAGCGTGTGTCACAAAGCTATCAAGTCGCGGACTTGACTTCTCCGGTGAGCTAGTAGCAAACTAGCATCAAGAGAATCTTCGGTGGGATTTGGGTCGGTTTCACTCGGTTTAGGGTGGCTTTAGGGTTGGTTTCCGTTGTGTGTACACGCGTTTGAGGTAGGCTGTAAATGGGTTTTGGCAAGGTTTGCGAGGGGTTTAGGATGAATTCAGGGTGGGTCCAAAACGGCTGTCGGGGTCTAGGATGGGTTTTGTCTCTCATTGATCCAGGCTTTGAGGGCAACGCACATTGCAAAGCTGCTTCCTGATTCTCACCGTAGGAAAACACAGTACGTCCGGTCCACCACGCGGTGTCCGCAGAAATGCGATCACTTGCGTGGCGCGACCACTCATCGCAAATTGGACTTGCTTTGGATTGGTCTTTGATTGTCACACGCTGGGGGTCGAGGCTGCAAGCGAATGCACTCAGTTGCTCCTTAGGACGGAAAAGGCACTTTCTGGGCTGCACGTGATAGCGTGTCCACGTTTTCGTGTTCTCGTCGTGCTCCCAGTAGTCCTCAGTCCTTCTTTGAGAGCAAACACCCGCGTGTTGCGCAGAACCCTCAAACACGTGATTGAAAGGGTGTTCCTCTTTAGACAATCTGACATTGTTCTTTTCGATGTGATGACACCCAAAGTATCGGCCGAATGGCTCGGGCGCGTCGATCTCGACAACCTTCCCGATCAGTTCCCATCCCTTATCAAGGCTACCGGCGGGTCCTGCAAGCTTGAAGTCATCAACATATACGACGAGCAGAGGTCGAGTTCCGGATGATGGAAAATGGATGTCCATATTTCAGGCAACACTCTCACAAAGCCTTGCTTGCTAAGGGCATCTTCGAGGTGCTTTTCCCAAAGCCCCCCTGAATCGGGATGTCCATACAAGGCTAGCACAAGTGGTACAATGGGGTCAATGTATTGTTTGCTCCAATGGCTAGGCCATCTGTTCTTTGGCAATCTAAGCCATGTGGGAACGCCTTTGAACAGGGCTTGGATGTAGGCTTGCTTCGCATCGGCTTGCGCCTTGCGGTAGCCGGGCTGCGACCCGAAAGCGTCGAGGATTTTGGCTGTCTCCATTGACGCTGGGCTGGACCCTAGCTCCGCAAATAAAGCTGCCACAGAGTTCTCATCGTAAACATTGTTCCCTTGGAAAACGGTCCTTCCTTTGAACTTCTTGTTAGAATCATCGGGAAGCTCACTACCCTTCTCGTAACAAGCCTCGAAAATCCTTCCAATGTGGACCTTTTCCCCTTTGTTCTGGGCTTCTCTGATGACACGCCTACACTCATTTACTCTGAGCTCATCCCAAGTACCTTTCTTTCGAAGGTTTTCCCATTCCTTGTCAAGGGCGGCTTGGGCCTTTGGCGTATTGGCTACTTCGGCTTCGGCACAAGTCTGGCTACGACTGCACTGAACAGTTCAAGAGCAACATCAAATTCGACTTTCTTGATCGCTCTTTGACCAACTCACGCAATTGCGGGCGATGCGGCTCCTTTGCTGACTTGTCGCGTTCCGGAAGGACGGACATCGCAGGCGCTTGCCGGATCACAGGCATTGTCGGCTCGCCCTCGCGGGCGGCGCTGGTTGGCTTTGCACTCGATGCGGCTTCAGGGTGCTCGGATCTGGCCTCCGATGAGACTGTTGTCTCGAGCACAGCCTTCTTGGCATCTGCACGGAGCTGATCTTCATACTGCTGGGTTAGGGCCTTTCGGTCCTGGCTGCCGCATGTTCGATATGGTAATCGAGTCCTTCTAGCTTTGCAACAAGGAATTCCCCTTTCTATGCGAACCCAGGCTGAATGTGGTACCCGAGAAACACGCCTTCATTTGATGTTGGCGAAGTCTTGCCTGCCTGATTGTCAGCTCGTGCAGGGTTGTTCCAGAACAGTACCTTTGCTCCGAAAGGTATCTCAGCTTCATCAAAGGTCTTGTGAAACCTGAGGTACCATGCCGAATCGTTTCCGTTCAACTGCGGCAGGATGTTGGTTGCAACTGCATTGTGCTGGATTGCAAATGGCCACATCGACAGTGGGAACCCTGACTGAACAAGATTCGCACGTGCTCCCTCCAACAGATGTCTGATTTCCCTTTCGACGAAGGATTTGGAAGAATCAACATATTCAATGGAGGTCTGATGACGGTACCCCAACTGCTCTATTGCGGCTTCAATTCCAGGGAGTTATCGGTGTAGAGAACCTCAACCTCATCCCTACCGGAAATGAAATGCTGGATCCCTGCAACGGATTGCTCCGTGCTTTTGCTGGTCGACGGATAAACATACCTGAACTGCGTATGCACGTCCTTGATCACAAGAGCACACCATTCACCTTTGATACCTTGCTCGATGTTGGCCTTGAGAATGGCCGATCCTTTTTTCCGGGAATTTTTCCCAACGCTTTTGGGAATTTTTTCCGATTCATTTCTGACTGGACACAGACACACACACGCTCCAGCAAACACGCCCAAGCACACACTGAAAAGACACGCTCTTACACCTACTGCAACACACCCACAAACACAAACCCACTCGCACACGCACACACACACAAACACACACGCACGCAAACATGCGGCCGTAGTAGCTCAACACAAAGCAAAACACCGTCAAGCATGGACTCAGACTTATACGCACACCCAAACATACATTGACACACAAGCAGAAGCACACGCACACACACACACACACAGACTGAAACGCACACTCAAGCACGCTCAAACTCACAAACGATATGTACTTTTTTCAGCATCGTGCAGTCAACGAATCCGGCCCGCCAGCGGCACCTAGCGCGAGTGGCCGGGTGATGATGCTTGGCAGGTAATTTGCAAGCAAGAACATGACGGAACAGGAGAACACACAAGGCCCATAGAGCACAGCAAGAAGCCTTCTGGGAACCCTCCAACTCAAGCAACTTGCTCTTGACTGCCACGGGGTCGATAAGCAGCGGCACTCCCCGCCTCTAGCGCTTACCTCGGGTAGATTTGCCGCAATGCAGCAAGCCTCTCTGCCTTCGGCGTCGCCTAGCGTGCAAACGTATGCTTGCAACGCGCACAACAGTTCTCTTCCGTCGCTCAACATAGCATAAAAAGCCCAAGCGGCGCTCCACAAGGAGAGCCGGCGCCGGGCGACGACCCGCATCCCGTCGTCCTGGCCACGCAGCACGACACGATCGCACATCTTCAAGCTTGTGAGCCACGCAGGAAAATGCAGTTGCTCCACTGCATGCCTCGGCAACGACAGGGCGCCGCCGCCAGCTCGGAGTCCTGGGTTGCGTGTGGTTTTGTTTTGCGGCACAAAGTGAGGGCCAACGGCACTCCCAAAGTATGACGAGGGAAGAGACCCCCGCCTGCGTTCCCTGCGCTCGAGCGCTCGAGCAGCACTGGACCCCGATGAGCAGCTTGCCTGGGGTTGGGGCTGCTTCTTGGCACTGTGTTGCAACTCTACGCCTTGCCTTGTTGAGCACGTTTTTCAGAGCGTGGGCTTCTGCGAGCCGTAGATCGAAGAACATCTTCAAATCAGCGTAGCTCAAGCTCCTCGGATGCAAGTATGTGCATGGGTCAGCGCACTTTGCTCCTGTGCAACTTGCTGACTAGCCATGAACATGCAGATAAGAGTCTGAAGGATCGCGACTGTCGCATCTTGGCTCGTGAAGCGCTCTTGCAGAGAAGCCAAGCCTGCAGCCCGCAGCACTGCGCTGAGGGACTGCGCTTCGGCAGAAGATACAGGAAGCGCAGATGGCTGCGTGACGCAGGGCAGACGCAGGATGTCAGGCTCCCGGGCAAGCGCCAAGCCTGCGGGGTGGCGCGCAGCCTTTTTAGGGCGACCACGCATTGGGCCAGAGAGTCCTGAAACAGACTGTACTGACAGCAAGCCCTCACCCAGCATGGCGCAGTATGCATGTTCGCACGGGCCCCATTTAGCGGCCGAAGGACAAAGGAAGCAGAGGCTGCGCATGTGCTTGTTGCGCAGGCCTGGTTCAGGCAACGGGCGATGTTGCTGCGCCCAATATTCAGCAACTGCGGGGCCCAGCACAACACATCGCCAATCGTCCAAAACCCGGAAGGCTCGCCCCCAATCTGACACCTCTTGACGGCGCGTATCAAAAATGGCAAGGCGCTGCAGAGCTTCCTGCACAGCTGGCACGGAAGAGGATGTGCAGAGCGTGGCAAAGAAACGCGCGCTTTGCGGTGGCAGCTGGACGGGTGTCCGGTCGACAAAGGTCTTGCGCCGGACATCAGGGGGCAAGCTTGGGTCGCGAGAATAGCGGGAAGACGGAACAAGAACCCAAGTGTTGCCGACAGAGTCGGTCCACTGCTGGTTGAGGTGCCACTCCCACAAGCTTTGGGCAGAAGTGCGGCCAGCTTTGCGTATGGCGGCGCTGCCCTTCAAGAGCTGCTGGTCCAAATGCTGCCCGGCACCTGACCAATCCATCAGCCTGCGACTGGACTTCGCGAGGCTTTTGCACGACTGCAACTCGTGCCGCACAACCACTTCCAGCTGCCGGGCCAAGTCGACCGGAGCAGAAGCACGGCCAGCGACAAGGCGCTTGAGCGTTGTGCCGTGCCAACTTTCCTGCGGAGCAGAGCCGACGGCGGTGCCAAAGCAAATGCGGTCCGGGCCAGCACGCCAGGCAGCGTCCCACTGCCCGTGTGACAACACGAAGTAATGCCTCTGCAAAGGTCGAAGGACGGGGTGGTTGGCGCCAAGCCGTTGCCAGATGCTGCTCCAAATGACGTGGAACAAAGCCGCAGGTAGGAAGCGAGACAAGCCAAACCAAGACAGCAACCACGACAGCTGCGCGTCGCCCTGATGGAAGCAGCGGCGCGCTAGGCCTGGAAATCCAGCTGGCCCCAGGGAGGTTGTTCCGGTGACATGCGCCCAATCCGACAGGCGCGCAGCATGCGCAGCGAGGCGCTGACGAGCAAGGTCCC